CGGCAGAGGAGGCAGTTGGGACTGCAGGTGGGCTCCAGTGAAGGAGAGGGCCTGGAGACGTGTCACGTGCTTGCAAATGCTGGGGCCTCATTCTTGGCCTTGGAGATAAAGAATTTGAGCAAAGAGGCTGAATAGAGAGGGTTGTAGTGGGGGCAACCATACAAAATGAAGACGATGATCATGAAGAGAGGAGGTTAGGTAAGATGGAGGAGGAGGAGGGGATGTAGAAAACATCTCGGGGGCAAACTCCTTCTGCTGCAGGAGTTCTTGAGGAAACTCCAGAACACATGAGGCCTGGGCTGTGCAAAGCACTGCTCACCTTGTAGAGTACCACAAAGAGCAGAGGAATGCATAACTCCCCCTCCGTCACGCCAAGATGATGCCAAGTGTGTAAGATACAAAAAGGATATGGGATGCAGGACCAGTGGGAACTGTATCCTACAGTTCTCTTCACAGTGCTGCACAAATATATCCAAATGAGAACCTGGCTTGTTATGGTAGCACATGACTTCAATCCCTGCATTCTGGAGACATGGACAAGAACGACCAAGGATGAAAAAGGCAGGATCACAGATCTATGGATAGAGGTTGCCCTGGTGAGAGAGGAGACCCCATGCCAGGAGTCAGATGGACAGAGATGGGAGAGGGCAAGTCCCAGAGCACCAGGGAATGAACCTCAGATAACAATCCATAGCCCCTCTTTACTTATGGACTCCAATAAAGAGACAAGAACAAGGAAGAGCATAACTTCAGGGACATTTATTGACTTTATTGACTTTTACATATTCCTCTGTTAGGAGGTAGAAAAAAAAAAAGCCTAAACCCAATGTGCTGCACAGTCCTGAGGTTTTTAGAGAAACAATCTCCACTAATCTTCATTGAGGAACTGGGTGTTAATCAGAGGTTGACCACAGCTGCTGAAGCTGGAGGCCCCAGAGTCCTGAATCACAGGCAGGTAGTAGGTGTGGAGCTGAGGACGGACAGCAGTGCTTCTGGGTCTCCCATCTGAGAAATGGGGAATCTCCCTGGGACATCACAGACAATGGGTTCCTTTGAAGCTTTGCAGAAGAACCAGGGATGCCATGATTCCCCAGGCTGGTCCCTGGAAGGTTGAGGGTTCTCGGAAGGCAGGTGGTTACCAAACCCTTCACAGTAGAAAGGACCTGGGAGGGAAAAGAAATGGATAGAGTTCATAAGCATGGCACCTTTACTCTCCCAGAATGGTGTAAGCCATGGTCTGTGTGTCTGGGGTATCTTGGGCTACCCAGAACATGTCCAATTTCCACTCCCCTGGGGTGACAGAGGAAGGTAGGCAGAAATGTACAATAGTGACCCCTGGAAATGGGGTTCGCTCCAGACTGTGCTCTGCTCTATGCTAATGAAGGGCAGCCCAGCCCAAGCTGCCCTCTAGAGGAATTGGCAGAAAATGTAGAAGAGACTAACATGGGGAGCAGCACAGGATGCTGTACAAGTCTTCTGAATAAGGAGAAAACAAGGGTATGGTGTCTCCTCTCCCATTGCACAGTCTCCTGTGCAGATTCTGCAGGGTCAGCAGCAGGTCCACACAGCTTTCCCAGCTCTTCTTCAGGCCCCGATGCCCATTGAGTCGCTGGTAAAGAGCCCAGCTCTTCTGGTAGATCTTCCTGCCTGGGTGCCCAATGATCCTTTCCACTACTTGCCACTCCTGCATGAAGATCCTGATTTCGTTGTCAGTCCATGGCTGTCTACAGGAAGGACCAGCAAGGGAAGGAGGGAGGTGATGAGTGCCTTTGAAGCCATGCACAGCAATTTCAACTCCTCTAGGGAACCTCTCTGCACACTGAGAGAAGAAAGTGAACCTTGGCAAAGAGCTTGCAGTAATTTTTTGGGAGAAATTAACAGCAAATATCCAAAAAGCAATAGAATTGATCTTATAAAAAGGATCTTGCCTCGAATTGTACGGCAAAAACCCATATCTGGAGTTCGTACATTTTATACAGATGCCAACAAAGAAGGAAAGGCAGGATACAAATCAGAAAATTTAAGTAAAGTAGTACAAAGTCCATATAATTCAGTTCAAAAATCAGAATTGTATGCTATTCTGTTGGTATTAATGGATTTTTCAGAGAGTGGCCTCATTCACTTCTTAAGAGATTAGGAACCCTTGCTCCCAAGCCCAGGCTTACCACTTGCCCTGATCTTCACACCGAGGAGTACACTTGCTTGCAATTACAGCTGCCTTCAGGTGTAGAAAGTGCATTGTAGAACAGAAAGGGCTCTCAGGGGACAAGTGCTGCCTGGGGACATTGTCCCTACATAGACTCATCTGTTTCCTGGAGAGACTCTCACAGAACCTTGAGACTTTCAGTCTCTTACAAGAACAGGAAGCTGGGACCATTGGGGACAAGAACATCCTTGACAAAGGTGTCCATGTCTGAGTTCCTGCCTGAGCTCCCGTGTCAAAGAGAAAAAGTCTATGGTGTAAGACTTTGGTCTTAACTCAGGGTTTCCTCTGAATCCCTGAGGGCCTTTGTCCTCCCTGCTTCTGACGCTGTCTCATACAGGATGTCTTGGTGTTCCTCAAATGTTCAATGTTCTCTGCGTCTCTCTATTCAGAAGTGAATAAGGAAAATGTTAAACTGCTTTTGGGCATCAAGAATCTCTGCCTCCTGGCCAGGAGTGGATTCAGGATTCAGCCTCTTGCAAATTGAGTAAACAATGGACCCTTCCTTCCCCATCTCCAGATGCTGGATCCTCATCACCTAAGGGGAAACCATGCCTGTGAAGAGTAACCAGGCAAAGCCTCCAGTGAATATTGTAGCAGCCCACAGTTAAAGGGAACATTCAAGGACAGAAGCACCTCTCCTTTGAGAGGCCCTCACCCACTCTGTCCAGCTCACTCTTTCCCAAACTCCTTTCTCTTATCCAAGTGATACAAAACCCTTATCAAACTCTCTTTGAGTCCCAGCTCTGCTTCAGACACATTAAGGTCTCAGAAGAACTCTGATCAAGTAACTGTTGTTCTAGTATCGTACAACAAGGGTGCTTGGCTTGGGGCTACTATCCGAACCCTTCCATGAGAGATGAAGGCCAGTTCAGGAGTTCAGCTGCAATCTTGGCTGTAGAGTATCCTATGGGCAAGCACTGGACCACTCAGAGGCTGCCTTAACATAGGAAAACCTAGAGAGATCCCAAGGACAGGGAAGGGGCTGAACTCTCTACCTCTGCAAATTGGAGCATGGTTTCAAGTTCAAGGACGGTCACCACGTCTTCCCAAGTTCCTGAATCAGAGTCAGGAAGTAGGTGTGGAACTGAGGACGGACAGCAGTGATTCTGGGTCTCCCATCTGAGAAACGGGGAATCTCCCTGGGACATCATAGGCAATGGGTTCCCTTGAAGTTGTGCAGAAAGACCAGGGATGTCATGATTCCCCAGGCCAGTCCCTGGAAGGTTAGGGTTCTCGGGAGGCAGGTGGTTACCTAACTCTTCATGGTAGAGAGACTCTGAGAGAGAAGAAAAGGAGAGAGTTTGTTAGTGTGGCAACCTCACTCTTCAAGAATCTATGCTAAGCCATGGTCAGTCTGTCCTGAGTATCTTGTTCCACCCAGAACATGTCCAATTTCCACTCCCCTGGGGTGACAGAGGAAGATAGACGAACACAGAGGACACATGTTTTCACCATGTGCAATCGTGACCCCTGGGAATGTGGGGTTCCCTCCAGACTGTGCTCTGTTCTGTGCTCATGAAGGGCAGCCCAGCCCATGCTGCCCTCTAGTGGAACTGGTGTGCGAAATGCAGAAGAGCCTAACATGGGGAGTGGCCCAGGATGCTGGACAGGTCTTCTGAGTAAGGAGAAAACAAGGGTATGGTGTCTCCTCTCACATTGCACAGTCTGCTGTGCCAATTCTGCAGGGTCACCAACAGGTCCACACAGCTTTCCCAGCTCTTCTTCAGGCCCTGATGCCCATTGAGTCGCTGGTAAAGAGCCCAGCTCTTCTGGCAGATCTTGCTGCCTGGGTGCCCAGTGATCCTTTCCACTACTTTCCACTCCTGCATGAAGATCCTGATTTCATAGTCGGTCCATGGCTGTCTACAGGAAGGACCAGCAAGGGAAGGAGGGAGGTGATGAGTGCCTTTGAAGCCATGCACAGCAATCTCAACTCCTCTAGGGAACCTCTCTGCACACTGAGAGAAGACGAGAGTGGCCTCATTCACTTCTTAAGAGATTAGGACCCCTTGCTCCCAAGCCCAGGCTTACAATCTGCCTTGCTCCTCATAGTGTGGAGAACACTTGCCTGCAAGTGTAGCTACCTTCATGTGTAGAAAATACATTGCAGGGCTGTCAGGGGACAAGTGCTCCCTGGGGACATTGTTCCTACATAGACTCAAGCCACAGCTGTCCACCACTGAGGTCCTGCCTCAGCTGGCAGATGAAAAAAAATACTATGGTGGAAGATTTTGGTCTTAACTCAGGGTTGCCTCTGAATACCTGAGGGCCTTTTTCCTTCCTGTTTTTGATGCTATATCACTGGAGACTGGTTGCTGTTCTTCAAAGTTCCAAGGTGTTCTGCTTCTCTGTTCAGAAGAGAATAAGAAAAGTATTAAAAACTGTTTTCAATCATTAAGAATCCTTGCCTCTTGGCCAGGAATGGATTCAGAATCCAGCCTCTTGCAGCTTGAGAAAACACTGGACACTTCCTTCCACATCTCTAGATGTTGATTCCGCTTACCTAAGGAGAAACCTAGGCTGTGATGAGTAACCAAACAAAGCCTCTAATGAATATTGTAGACTCCCACTGCTGAAGGGATCATTCAAAGACAGAAGCACCTCTCCTTTGAGAGGACCTTGCCCACTGTGTCCAGCTCACTATCTTCCCAAACCCAAGGGATAGAAAACCCCTAATAGAATCTCCTTGTGAGTCCCAGCTCTGCTTCACACACATTAAGGTCTCAGAAGAAATATGTGGTCATGTAACGGTGGTTCTAGTATCACACAAGGGTGCTTGGCATGGGGCTACTATCCCAGCCCTTCCATGAGAGATGAAGCCCAGTTCAGAAGTTCATGGTCAACTTGGCTGTACAGTGACCTGTGGAGTAGCTTTAAACCACTCGTCGCTGCCTTAAAGGTAAAAACCTAGAGAGACCCCAAAGACAGGGCAGGTGCTGATTTCTGTACCTCTACAAATTAGGGCCTTGTGTTCAGGTTCAAGGTAGTTCACTGTGTATTGCCAAGTTTCCTTGGCTGTACAATGGATACAGTGCCAATACCTTCCAGGAAACTTTCTGTGACTACCCAGTGAGTTCATATGCACACAGGAAGGAGACACATGCCAGAGGCAACCTTTAGGGCTATAAAATTTCTGAGAGACAAATACACATGCTATCTCCTCACCTCCCAGATCACCTGCATTGTGCCTTCAGGGCTCTGTTGTGCTTCATAGAGTCTTGGGACCCAGGTTCTCTGCATCCTGGAGGGTGCTACAGAGTCTGGAGTGTAGAGGTAGAGCTAGGTGGATGAATAAAGAAAATGTGATACATTTACATGATGGAGTATTACTCAGCTGTTAAAAAATAGCACCATGAAATTTGTGAGCAAATTTATAGGATAGACCTAGAAAAATCGTCCTGAGTGAGGTAACACAGACCTAGAAAGACAAACATGTATGTATTAACTTAAAAGTGAATATTAGCTATTAAGTAAATGATAACCAATCAACAGTCCATAAACTCAGAGGTTAGGTAAAGAGGAGGGATCTAGAGGGGATGCTTAGATCTCCCAGGGAAGGAGAAATAGAAAACATCTTGTGGGTGGAAAGTTGGAGTTGGAAGTGGGAGAGATGGGGATGAGTGGGTGGAGGAACAGAGGGGGAAAGACAAATAGTTTGTGGGTATTTGGTGGGTAGTGGGAAACCGAAGTCCAGTGGAAACTTCCTGGAATCTATGACGGTGTTCCTAGTGAGGACTTCTACCAATGAGGGACACTGAGTCTGAACTGGCCATCTCTTGTAGCCAAGCAAGAATCCCAGGGGTTTTTCTCTTTCTCAGAGTTGCAACAAAAATATCCCTGATGACGATTCAGTGGAGCCCTGTCCTACAGTCAGTTTATCCAGAAACCGTGAACTTGGGTATCACAAGTTCTCTGACCACAGGACCCAGAATGGAGATGGGATTGAGCAGCTACCATGACAGTTAAAGGTACCATTCTAGAAAAGAAGCCTCCACACCACAAGACTGAGAGGGGGGTAAAGTCAGGGCCCTAATAGCCTAGCTAGGTGACCCTTCAGTCTGACCCAGATAGCCAACCTCTCTACACTCAGAGTTCTCTGGAACTCTCCATACAGAGGGTGAAGTACAAGCCGGGCATGGGTGTGCCCATCACAGAGAGGACCTGAGAAAACAGAACTTATATGCAGATCCTCCATACTCCTCTTACTTTTACGCCCATGAAATTGCTCATTTATATGCAGGTTGTTTTGTTTTGTTTTGTTTTTTGGTTGATGGGGTGTTTTTGCAGGATTTTTCTTATGGTGTGTATGTGTGTTTATTATGATTAATACATTTATTCATCTCAAAACTGAGTTTGTCTATGTAGCCATGGTTGTCCTAAAGCTGGCTTTGTAGACCAGATTGGCCAAGAACTCGCAGACCTTTTTTCTGTGTTCCAATGTGCTGGGATTTAGTGCATGGACCACAACTGCCCAGCTAATTTCTGTTGTGAACAAGTCCCAAACTAATCCCCCAGGTCTCACAGAGTTAGTCCAGCCTGCAGAATGGCAAGTGCTTCCTGCCGATGCAGGGGCAACTGGGGGCAGTGGGTCATCTTTAGGCAAGCACTGTCAACCCTAGAGTATCTGCCAGGGGAGGAGGAGATGGGACAGAATATTTCCCCACCCAGAACTAAGCATTGGGAGTTGGTACCTGAGGGACTCCCTGCTTCTTGGTTTCCATTCTTTTCTATCAGTGCCTGTGCAGCTGTTGAAATTCCATTCTCTTCTGCAAACACACAGTATGGCAGCCTGTGTGAGAGAGGCTGAGAGAAATCACTAGTTAGAACCAGCCTGAGTTAAACAAAAAGACCACACAAAAAGTTCATAAATAAAAAGGAAGAAAAAGGCCAAAACATAAACGCTGAATATCTGGACTTGCTTCTGTAAGCTTTAGCACTGAGAAAGGGTAAATTCGGAAGAGAACTCTTTGGGGCTTAGGCTCGGCTTGCTTCTGAATTATAGGCCAACCCTGGGCTATCTAATGTCACCATGTTTCAAAAACTGAAAATCCAGTAGAAGACTGTGTTCCCAGCCCTGGGGAGACAGAGGGAGGTGGAGCAGCCGAAGTTCAAGACTACCTTGAGATGGACAGTTGAGCTCCAGGATAGTCTGGCTCAGAGCGACTGTGGGTCATTAAAAGTAAAAGCAGGGTTGTGGGGGCCAAGACATAAGAGAAAATGAGGGAAGGAAAATCAACCAAGGTGTGGGCAGGATGATGGATGACCTGGATCCCAGCTCTTCTATACAGGCTAGAGCATAGGGTCTTCATCGTCATCTTTGGATTGATTTTTTTTTTTTTTAAGCCTGAGGCCAGCCTAGGGTGCATTACACTTTCTTCAAGTACAGGAATAAATAAAAGTAAGATATGTTCTCCAGGTCAAATGCCCATATAGTAGAGTGAGGAGGAGCACAGTCAAGGGTAGCCAGTGCTGCACACAGAATTTGTGTCCAAAGGAAGACAAATACAAAAGAAGAAACATTGGGATCTCCTCATACCTATACCCCATAATGCAGGGACAGTCAGGCAGAGTATGTTTGGGGCCATCTGGACTACAATTGGAGTTCAAGTCCAACACTGCACCATACCTGAGACCCTCTTTTAAAAAGACAAAACTGCCTGTTGAGGCTGAGATCTGGACTTCCAGCTCTCAGATGTTAGAGTTGAGGGGATCATTGGGTGCTGGAGACCAGACAGGACTGCCCATCCAGCTCAAGCCTGGCCTGATATGAAGAGCAAAGCCTGGTCTTGCTGTGACCAATGAACAGAAGCAACAGCAAGGACGTCAACAGGAACAAAGATGGCAGCCCCGGCTGTCCTGCTCTCAGTGGTGGAGGGCTGGTTTCCATAAAGGCTACAGCTACGGGTCCTGTAACCCGTCATCTAATTCATATCCTACTTTCTTTCCTGTAAACTGAACACACAGAACCATCACCTCCAACCATGTTGCATGGAGGAGGAAGTGTGGCCACATCATTAGAGGCGGGAGAATTGCATGAAAGACGGACGTTACTGTCCATGAAAGTTCTTCAGAGCTAGGCAGAGTGTCTCAGCCTGTGACTTTTGTTATATAAACTTTGTTTGTGCGCTGACAAAGCTTGCCTAGAGATCAGAGAGCAGAGCTAGCCACTACTTAACCACAGTCACAAACTACCAGTTTGTGTTCCTTCCTATTCTAAAACTATTTCCCGATATAAGGAGTATCTGAATATTTTTCTCCATTGCATTCATAAGCCGCTGTCTTTGTGTGTCTGATAGCATCCAGCAACACCCCGGCTCCATCCAGTTTGCATTGCACTGTGGAGAGACTGAGGCTGTGAGACACTGAACAAGAATGACCAAGAATGAAAATGGCAGAGCACAGGTCTATGGAAATAGAGGTTGCCCTGGTGAGAGAGGAGACCCCATGCCAGGAGTCAGATGGAGAGAGATGGGAGAGGGCAACCACGGGGCACCATAGAATGAACCTCTGAAAATAATTTCAAAGCCCCTCTTTACTTATGGACCCCATTCAAGAGACAAGGACAAGGCAGGAGAGCATAACTTCAGGGACATTTATTGATATTTTTTTTAAAACATTTTCATCTCTTATGAGGTAGACAAAGAAGCCTAAACTCACAATGCTGCATGGTCCTGAGGTTTTCAGAGAAACAAAACTCCACGAGTCTTTATTGAGAATCTAGGTGTTAATCAAAGGTTGACCATGGCTGCGTGTGCTGAGGCCCCAGAGTCCTGGATCACATGCAGATAGTAGGTGTGGAGCTGAGGACGGACAGCAGTGCTTCTGGGTCTCCCATCTGAGAAAGGGGCAATCTCTCTGGGCCCTGACAGGCAATGGGTTCCTTTGAAACTGTCTAGAAGGACCAGGGATGCCGTGATTCCCCAGGCCGGTCCCTGGAAGCTTGCGGGTTCTCGGGAGGCAGGTGGTTACCAAACCCTTCACAGTAGAGAGGACCTGAGAGGGAGAAGAAATGGAGAGAGTTCATAAGCATGGCACCCTCGCTCTCCCAGAATCATGCTAAGCCATGATCTGTCTGTCCTGAGTATCTTGGTCCACCAAGAACATGTCCAATTTCCACTCCCCTGGGGTGACAGAGGAAGGTACAGAGAAGACAGGTATTTTTTTCACCATGTACAGTAGTGGCCCCTGGGAATGGGGGTTCCCTCCAGACTGTGCTCTGCTCTATGCTCATGAAGGGCAGGTCAGCCCAATTTACCCTGTAGAGGAATTGGTGTGGGAAATGCAGAAGAGACTAACATGGGAAGTGCCCCAGGATGCTGGACAGGTCTTCTGAGAAAGGGGAAAACAAGGATATGGTGTCTCCTCTCCCATTGCACAGTCTCCTGTGCAGATTCT